AGAAGCCGGCGACTGATCTGCCTCACCCAGGAAGAGCGCAATGATGGTGCCAACTTGGGCCAGTGAAGCAACGTCCTTCACAACTAGACTGAAGAACAAAAGGGACAGCAACTTGTCTGTTCCCCTTCCCCAATTCCCCAGCGCTGTTCCCATCCCCATTCCCCAATAAAATCTTAAAAAAAAACAAAAAGAAAGTCATAGGAGTTATATATAAGACTAGCTTCAATAAGTTTTTAAAATTTAGAGAAAATGGATGGTTTTCAAAATAACATAATTATCAAAATTGACTCAGGAAGACAAAACCCTGGGTGGTAATAGTAACATGGTGCAGCACAGGCATGGAGCCACAGGAGGTAAGTTACCTGCCTGTGATGCTCAATACCACTCTTCAAACCCCAGGTGCTCCTGCTGGGGTGGGAGGGGCAGACCAGCGGGACCTCATCACCGGCAGGGGGCTGGGGTGCCAGGAAGTGAAGGCTATTGCGACAGGAAGCAGGCCCAGGTCCTCACAGGACCTGCAGCGTCACCTTCTCCTCTTGGCAGGACTGTGCTGATAAAATGCCTCGTATCCAGACACACGAGGTGCTCTCACAACTCCATGAGAAGACAAGAACCAGATTTTTCAAACCTCACCGAAGAATGCCCAGTGAGCCTCTGGAAATGTGCACATCACGTGTCGTGTGAGCCACAATTTAAAACCACATGGCATACGACGGCACACCCAGCACCAGGGCTACAATTTAAAGGGGGACGAAACCAAGCTTGGGGAGGATGTGCGGCACCTGGAACCCTCGCCATAGCTGGTGGGAATGCAAAATGGTGCAGCCCCCTCTGGGGACAGTTTCTTCTAAGGTTAAACATTTGCTCACCACAGTACACCATTCCTAGATACCTCCCCCCAGAACGAACAGCCGAGTCTACACACACGAGTCCCAGCACCTCAGTCATCACAGCCAAACCAGGAGCTCCCCAAATGCCTGTCAGCTGGCGATACATCCACCGTGCACCCCACAGGACACAGAGGCAGGGAGGACTGGCCTATGGCTGACAGAAACAGCTTCATGCAAAACCAAAGAAGCCAGACACAAAAGGCAGCAGTCTCAATGATTCCTTTTGTGCAGGAAAGGTCACAAAGAGGGGAGGGAACGAGAAGAGGCCACTGGTTCCCAGGGCCTGGGGCCTGGGAGGTGGGGGACAGCAAGGAGGCGGGACCCAAGGAGCCCAGTGATGGAGAGATTCTGCGTCTCGCTGGCCATGGCGGTTACGTAACTGTGTGCAGAGCTCATCAGACTGTGCACTTAACAAGGTGAGTTTCAGTGCATGCATGTTACAGCCTAATTAAAAATAAAAAAAGTTTCGTGGATACGCCTGGAGAGATTGAAGGGTCTGAATGACAGGTGGAAAGATAGGGGTCCCTGGAGAGCTGCCTATCCCCAGGCTCCCTCTGCAGCGGGCTCTCCCTTGAGGGTCCAGGACCCAGGGCTACTGGGACCTGTCAGTCATTGTTCCAGCCCCCTCATGGCCCTAGCAGCAGGAGGACTTTCTTCCTTCAAAGTGTCCCTGATGCACCACACAAAGCCACCTGTGTGCGCTTCGCAACTCTGAATCCCCCAGTGTGGGGCGTGTGGGGCCAGAAGCAGGGCCCAGATGACAGAGCAGGGAGTGCAGACCAGGAACTTCCCACGGGTTCCCAGGGCCCAAGTTCAGGCCTCCCAGAAGCAGTGGCCTTGGAGACATGGTGCTCCGTGGCAGAGAATGAATCCACCCCGGTGGGCTCCAGGCTGGAGGGTGGGGCAGTGCCAGTAGGAGCGGACGTGCCCCCAAGGAGCTCTAGAGGTGGTATGAAGCTGACATCTACGTGGGGAAGCCACTGAAAATGGTGCTGAGGCCACACACTCCTGCGGGTTACAGAGGGATGACCACAGCTTGGATCTGAAAGGTCAGCACAAGTGAGAGGAACCAGAAACTGAAAGAATGACTTCCCTCCAAACTAGCCCCAACGCTCTCCTCTCTTCTCCGAGCCTGTGGCGACACAGCCGCAGCTGTCCTGCTGCTCGCTGCTCCAGGCTATGTGCTGGCTGGGGTGGGGCGGCACTTCCCAGGGGACACAGGACAGGACCTGGGTGGGCCTGGCAGCGACGTTCGCATCCCTAGGCTGCCCTTGCAACCAAGCTGGCCCCCCAGACCAGAGGTGGGCACCGAGCTGGCCAGGACAGGCAGGAGGGGTGGGCGTGGGCATTGCAGCCCGTACCTCCCTTGTCCTGTCTGGCCCTCGGCCGCAAAAGCAGCCAGCCCAGGGCTGAGACACGTGAAAAAAACCAGTCATCTTCGTCCCATCTCCCTTTAGAGTTTTACTCTTTTGTTATCGTATGTTTTTGGCATTAATTTTGATTCTTTAGAATGTGCATTAAAATGCTACTTATCTTGATGTCTGGTGTTTTTGGTGTTCTGCCATCCCCCCCACCCCCGCCCAACCCCAAAGCGTGTGCCACAGGCCGTGCCTTGCCCCACTCTCGGCTCTGACCAGGATGTCGCTGACCCTGGCCCTCTGGAGTAGCCTGGCTCATGAACTGGGACCAGCTCCCCTGCCTGTGGAACAAAACCCCTCACCCTGTGGAGCGGTGTGTCTGCTGGGACAAAGGGGAAGGGACAAGGGCCAGCCCCAGAGTCTGGGAACAGATGCTCACAGCAGGCCCACTTCCCACTGTCGCCAAGCCATCTCTGTGCTTGTGCCAAAGACACCACGTTGTTTGTCCCCAGGTAGCTTCCCCTGGCCTCTTTCCTGCCATCACACCAGTGACCGGCAGACACGGGACTCAGCCGTAGCCTCGGCCTGTCTTGCTGCCTGTGGCTGTGGCTGGTTTTCTCCTGAGGGCATAAGCTCTGCCAGGAGCAGAACCAGCCAGGTTTTGTGCTGACCTTGCTATTTCACAGGAGGGGAGGAAACTATGCCCAGGGCACTGGACCCCGGCCCTCTGCCCATGCCTCCACTGCGCCTGGCCCGGCCTGGGTGCGGCCTGCTCCCCCTCTGCCTGTCGTCTGCACAGTCTCCTTGCTCACTGCGTGGGCACAGGGCTGGCGCAGAGGATGTCTGCGTTTTTCTTTGTTGGACAAAGTGACTGCTCTTTGCTCACAAAGACAGTCCCAGGAGTAACTGCGGCACCTGGGACTTGTGACACTATGTCTGATGAGTGTCGTCTTGTGGCTGGGCAGTTGGTTCTGCCTCTGAGATGCCAGGCTCCAAGCCCCCCTCGGCTGGGGCTTTAAACTCCCCAGACCCTCCATCCCACAGAAGTCACTTCCCGGACCTCCTAGCCGCCTAAACTCCTGGTCACAGTCCCTGTGTCTGAAGAGGTGGCAGAAGACCTGGCCTGCTCGGAAGAAGGACCTTGCTGCCAACAGAGGCAGTGCCCTTGGTCCCCTCCCCAGCAGATTACCCCCCCAAAGGGCCTGTGCATGAAATCAGACTCTGAAGAACAATCATTTGCTAAACAAACATGGACGGTGGGGACATGTGACAAAGGCTTCTAAGAGCCAAATGAGGCTGCGAGCTACCTTTTCCTTCTTGGCGTTCTCCATCCTGGCTCTGTCATCCGGCATGGGCTCAGCAGCCAGCTCGCGTGAGCTGGGGCCCCTCAGCGTTCCCCCTCAGGTTTCTGAAGCAGAAATGTCACAAGGCTTCTCCCAACCAGGGGTCACGGCCCGGGTGTCTGGTAAAGTGCGGTCCACCTCGGCTATTTCCCGGCTGGAGGTTCAATCACAGAGTTTCCTCCTTTTCATCGTGCCCAGCAAGCCGGTGGTGAGACTCATCTTCTGGGCCACAGCTGGGACCCTTCCCCACAGTCAGGCTGGGTATGGTCGGGGCAGGGACATTGCTGGGCTCCGGGGCTGGTCAGTGCTGGTCAGCTTTCTGTCCAGGCTGTGCTGAGCTGTGCCGGCGTGGCGGCCTCTAGACAGACTCAGCAGAAAAGCTGCTCTCCCCTCCTGTGGCTGGGGACAGCATTTGAGTAATTAGGCCGCAGGTGACTGTTTCTCACATACCCCGACCTGCTTTCCTTGGCTCGGTCACCACCCAACACTTCCTGCTCTGGCCAGGACCAGGTGTGCAGTGGGGAACACTCCTAAGAGGGCCTGTGCTGCCATGACAACCAGGAGCCAGGCCTCTGTGCTCACACCCTTGGCCTCAGCAGAGCTGGCCAGCCTGTCATTAGAGCTGCCATGCAGAAAAAGGCCTCCATTCCCATCACCATAGCAACAGCCCACTCTCCTTGTCACCACTGACTTCACCACCTGTCCAGTTCCCAGGGCAGTGTCAAAGGGGCTTCTAAACTTGCGTCCTAAGGAGCAGAGGCCCCTGTGAGTCTGAGACCCAGAGGAGAAGGAGTGGGCAGCTTGACCACCGGCATTGCCACTCATGGCCAGAGCACCCACAAGCTTTGTCACTGAAGCCTAAGCTGCACTATTGCGCCCAGACGGAGCAGAGGCCCACAGACCCAGGGGCCTGGGCTCGGGACGTGTGCACACCCACTCACACCCAGTGTTGGAAGACCCTGGGAATGGAGCTGACTATGCTGCTGGCTCAGGGTTCACATAACCATCTGGAGCCCAAGATGATCTCGCCGGTGTCGAGCATTTGTGGGCACCCTTGCCCCGCGGGCTTGCCATGCTGGCTGCATCACAGATCACGCTCTGTGGCTTTATTCTCTGTTGTAAGGGAACGGCTTGGCTCTAGTCACCTTGCAGGGGTACCCACAGGCCACAGGGCCGACTCTGGAACCACAGCTAACCTGAGCCTATCAGAAGCGGCACATTGTGGTCCTCCTCTCCCCCACCCAACGGAAGACTAGGAGGAGCTGCTGGGAGGCCTCCCCTCACTCTCTTCCCCACCTGCTGGGAAGGCTGTCAGGAGTTTCCCATTGAGATAAGAGGCTTTCTGCCCCGGCTGTCAGGGGTAGCTCCTCCCAGGGCACACTCAGGGCAACTAGGGGTGCAGGCATCTGGGGAGTGGCCTGTTTCTTCTGCTGTCTGTGTCAGTAACAAACTGTCTGAAGGTAAAAGTGGCCCTTGCTGGTCTGCTCGCCATGGCCTCGGCTCTGCTGCGTGCTGGACGCCTCCTGTGCCCACACCATGCTGTTTCAGTTGCCACAACTTCCCAGTTTGTGGCTATCTTGTAGGGCAAGCACCCTTTCTTTTTCTCTACAAAATTTTCTTTGCCGTGAGCTTTTTATGCTTCCTATAAATCTTAAAGTCTACTCACTCTATTTCACAAAATAATGCTGTCAATGATTTCATTGGAGATGCAATGAATTCAGGTATTTGGGGTTCATATTAGAGAACTGACATCTTTATGGCGCAGAGTCTTCTCATTCAGAAATACGTCATTTGTTCCATTTATTTAGGTGTCCTTTTATGTATTTTAGGTGAGTTTTGTTATTTTTCTCATATAGATCTTACACAGTTCTTGTTAGACTTATTCCTAAAGAAAGGTAATACATTTATTAGGAGAACGAGAAATTGTCCTTATGTCTAATGTTGATTAAAACATTTATAATGAACAAAGTGCATTTGCATTCATTCCGTCATTTGATCAGACAGCCTTGGGGCAGCAGGCAGGGGTGGTATTATCATCATGTTCAAATGAGATCATTGAGGCGGGGTTGGGGGGTGG